CTGGACCCCAACCACAGCCCCCACTCCCATCAGGCTCTGCCCCAAGGTCGGGCTCCGGAGTCTGAGCCATCGGAAAAAGGTCACCCCGAAAGGGAGAACAAGCCCTAGGGTGGGGGCTCTGGGCTCGGGGCGCCCTGGCACAGAACAGGGGAAGTGGGCACCAGCTCTGCGACCCGGGAAGCGGGGGCTGAGGCTGCGGGGCTGGCCTCCTTCCTCTGCCAGGCGGCTCGGAGGCCTGGAGGGGGGGTCCCGCCGAAAATCAGGAAGTGAAGCCACAGTGGGAACTCTACAAAAGGGTTTATTTCCTCCCAGCCGTGTGGGCACCACAAGGACAGTGCACATTCCAGCTGGGCGTGCAAGATTGTCCCTGAGTCAGCGCCTGCGCCCTTCCTGTCCTTCCTCTCCCCGGGAGCTGGGCCTCAGCTTCACCAAGCAGAGCTGGAGGCCAGGCCTGGATCCCAAGCCCCGCCCCCCGCCCCCCCCCCAGGTTCTGCGGCTTCCTGCTGCACCCTGCTCAGGGGACCACTGCGGAGGCCAGCCCCAGGTCAGGAGGGTGCCCTGTGCAGCAAGTCCACATGCCCCTCCAAGGTTAGGCTGAGCTGGGGGCCTGGGAGCGGGGCCACGGGTTTGGGGGATGGAGTGCATGGAATGAGGAGTCTCCTGGGGTGCAAGCTCCAGCCAAGGTCACAGGGCTCCCCCCTCCCAGGCGGAAGTGCCAGCCAGGGTCCCCAAGACGTCCCACCACCCCCTCCGGGCCCAGGGGTCTTCACAGGGCCGTCTCCTTGGAGGACTTGGCCCCCAGCTGCCGGGGGGGCCTGAAGCTGAGCACCTCTTTATACGTGTCACCTGGGGTGGGGTGAGAGTGAGAGAGATGGAGTGTCACGGGAGAAGGAGCCCAACCACCCATCAGAATCAGCACACGCACACGCACACACACACGCACACACACAAATAATAGATAAAAGGAATTAACCCCACAGTTCACGCCACTTTGGACACCAACGACCCAAAATAAGTGCTGGGCTCACTCGGAGCAGCAATGAGTCCAAAGAGAGTCCACGCAGGGTGGGGTGGGGCGACCTCCCAGGCCCAGACCACTGCCCAGGGCACCAATGCCCCCAAACATCAGGGTCACAGGTCACGGCTGGGGTGTAGGGGCCAGGTGGGCTTCTCTGTCCCATACCCATGACTCCGTCCCAGGCCACAGCCACCGTCAGGCCACCCGAGTTTGTCCACAGTGACTATCCACCCTGATGGGGCTCCTGGAACTCAGAACCCCTGCCCCTGAGGTGGCGGGCGGGCTCTGGCCCCACAGCCTGCCTCTGCGGACAGAGACGTCCTAGGAAGGCAAACCTACGTCCCGTCAGGCGAGCAGCTGCTCAGGGTCCCGCCGAGACACGCTGAGTCTCTGGAGCAAGCGCACCTACTTAGGCTTAAATGAGAGGGAGTCCCTCCACTAGCCTCACCAGGTGGCCGTGTCCCCTGAACTGTGTGCCTGCCGTGAGCCGTCCAAAGGCGAGGTGGGGAGACAAAAAAAGACAAAGGCAGGTGGAGGGCCTGCTCTGCTCCCCTCTGGCCAGTCTGCAAGTGGACAGGTTCCGCTCGGCCTGCCCCAGCCTCTCCCTCTCCCCTGGCTGGTGGGGTGCCAGTTCGGAGGACACAGGCACGCCACAAGCCCCACTCGGGACACACTGCCCTCAGCAGGCGGCCTGTGGGCGTACCCCCTCTCCTCCTAAGGCAGGGGCTGCCCACACCGGGAAGGTCTGTGAAGAGGCCACTGCTGCTGAACGGGCTTCTTTCCCCAGGGAAACAGGAAGTGCTGAGGGTTTGTGTCCTGACCCGGGACTCGGCCACAAAAAAGGCCACGTGTCCACCATGGTCTGAAGCAGAACTCTCATGGTTTGTGTGGGCGGGGACCACAGAGAGGATCCAGCCGCTGGCGGTTTTCAGATCTTTTTTTAGCAACAGGAAACTTTCACCAAATCCAACGTAGAAGCACAAAACACAGCACAGACAAGGGTGGAGTCCCTGCTGGAGGCACCAAGGAACCCAGGGGTCCTAAGGAACATAGTTTGGGAACCGCAACCCATCCAGCCCCACCCCTGCCCCCTAGTGCAGGACTAAGGCCCTGGGTCCGAGGCAAAGCCAGGAGGGGGCGTAGAACACAGTGGCAGCCGGGAACCACGGCTGCAGTAGGGCTAACGCTGCTCTCACATCCCTGCACCCCCAGGGCTGGTCCTGCAACCACCACAAGACACCACACCCAGCCCTCGTGGCCGCCCTTCTGCAGCACAGATGGACAAGGCCAGTCCCGGCGTGGGCATCAGGACCACAGCAGAGCGAGGCCTGGGGACTGGCCGGGCAGGCATCCTGGAACCCAGCTTGAGGCCGAGCAGGTCTAGCTTGACCCTCAGAAACGAGGGGAAGGGCCCTTGGTGTAAGGGGGTGACCAGCCCAAAGCCTGAAGGTGCAGAGCAGCTCTGGGGGGGTGGGGGTGTCGGAACTGCTCAGAGGGGCTGTAGGGGACAGGCAAGGAGGGGTGAGGTACTGTGGGCTGGCTGGGGTGGTCTTATCCCACTGGCAGGAAATGGAGGGCATGCAGTTATTCAGGTGAAAGGGGTCATGAAAGGGGCAAGGAGAGGCAAGATCAAGTTCAAGGGGCGTGAG